CCCCGTAAAGTAGCTGAGAGTAAGGGGTTGGACTTGAGAAGAGAAAGGAAGTTCCCTGTTCCGTAGTTATTTTGGAGACTACAAAATGGATTTTGTAGGGAGGATACATTTTAGTAGTATTATCTGTCAGCATCGAATGCCCCATGTACATTTGTGGTTATATATTTAAACTAAGTGTAGTCAGCAGAGCTATGTGATTTTTCTCCAGCAGTTCAATTTTAGAGTAATTGGATAGTGGGGTTCTCATTTTCTGCACTAGTTGGGTTGAGAAAAAAAGGTGCTAGGGAATTAGAATACATTCCTTCAGTTTATGATGAGAATTCTGTGAGGCATAATATTAAATACTCGAATATTTTTTAATGATCGAGAAAGTACACTTTTGGTTTTCTTAGGAATCCCAAACCAACCAAAGTCACCTCAATCTAGTCAGTGCTGACTCATAGCAACCGCCCCGTGGGTTTCTGAGACTGGAACGGTTTGGGACAAATTTAATTCAATTAGATTACTCAGTGATTTGTACCTGTATGTATTTTCCAAAGAAATATTTTTCTGGACTTTTAATTATTCTATTTCCTTTCTTAGAATTAAATCTGGTGTCATCTTCATGCCCCTTTTCTTTCTTTTTTTTTTAAAGGTCTGTCTATGATGGTGAGGAACATGGACGATTCATGGAGAAGCTTGAATCTCGAATCCGCAATCATGACAGAGAAATAGAGAAAATGTGCAACTTCCATTACCAGGGCTTTGTGGACTCTGTAGCAGAATTGCTGAAAGTACGAGGAGAAGCCCAGAAACTCAAAGTAAGGAGCCTCTAAGTAAAGAGACTCATTTTGCTGACCTATTGTAGGCTATGCATTTTAGTAGTAAATATTTTTATACAGTAAGAAGGGAATCTATACCGAAACATGGATAATTACAACTATGACTTTTTAGCTAAAAGGAGTACACTTTTAAGTTACAGTTTCAGATAAGTACACATGGATGCGAAACCAGTTTGTGATCAGTACCGGTTTGTTTCACACAGAAATTCAGTTGATTATTTCTGTCATTTTGTTTCCTTGCTGGGTAAAGGCCATACCTATAGACCGCCAGAACTACAGGGCATTGGTGCAGAAACCTTTGCAGTATTGCACCTACGCCAAGGGAATAGAATCAGGTAGCTCTGAAGGGTCTCTGATCAAACAGAGCATGAAGATTCTTTCCTGATATGACAAACTTTGATTCATGTGGGTGGCTAGCTACATTCATCCCTATGTCAGCAAATCCACCACACTTACATAGCCAACATTGCTTACTGATCTCAAATCTTGGGTAAATGCTCTTAATGTGAATACTTTTTGTGTATTGATTCTTGAGTGTTTTCTGTGTATGCTTTGCAAATACTGACAATTTTATTTCCTTCTTTTTAGTACTTATGTTTCTAATTTCTTTTTCATGTCTGACTGAAGTTTGAATTAAAACCCCAAAAGGATTTTCCCTGGGCATGGGGTTAACTTGAGAGTGAATCTAAAACTATAAGAATACATTGGTAAGAAAAACAAAGAAACAGATTTATTGAGGGAAGTGGGCTACCAGATGTTAAATTATATTTTTAAAACTACAGTAATTTAAAAACTCATTTGTCTGTGAAACCTGACCTGAACAGACATGAAGCCATCCAGGTTTAAAATTAATTTTATTTAATGTGAAGTTTTTTAGTTTGCTACAGAAATATTAATGTGTTTGATTATAGGGTGCTGTCCCAAGCCCATTGAAGGGTGCTACACAATAGGTAATATGTACCATATTATTTAAAACAAATCTTCAAAATTGTGAAATCCAAAACACATTAGGTCCCAAGATATCAAATAAGGGTTTATGGACCTATACAACAAATATCCAACCATCTTAAGAAATATAAGATTGCCAGCACAATGAAATCTCTCTTTTGTACTCTAGTCAGCTTCTGCCTTCATCTTCTCCAGGGGTAAATGCTAGTTTGATTTGTTGTTAAGATTTTTTAGTTCTTCACTATTTTAATTTGTATTAAGTTGATCCCTTCCTTATTCAAAATTAATTCCAGATGAGTTGGAGTTAAATGTAAAAGTAGTAAAAGATATTGATGAAAAAAAAAAAAGATATTGATAAATATTTTTGTGATTTTTGGGTGTGGGCAATACATTTCTAAACTAGAAAGAAGCAATCTGATAGATATGACAATATTACAATGCAAATTTAAAATGAAAAGACAAATAAATCAGTCAAATATTTGTAAATACTATATAGTTGGCTTTCTTAATATTTAAAATTCTTGCAAATTAATAAGAAAATATTCTAATAGAAAATTGAGACTTAGACATTGCATATAGTTTACAAAAGAAGAAATAAAGGGTAGCTTTAGAATTTAGAAATAATTAAAGGAAAGCAAATTTAAAGAGTAAGGTCACAACTAATAGAACGACAAAACGCAAACCAAGCCAATTGCCATTGTTTCACATATGACTCATAGCAGCCTCAAAGGTTGGAGTAGAACTGCTCCCCTGGGTTTCCATGACTGCAAATCTTTATGGGAGCCTCATTTCTTTTTCTATTGGACTTATTGGTACGTTGGAACTGGTGATTTCAAAGTTCGCAGCCCAGAGCGCACCTCCTACCCCATTGCACCATCAGGGCTCCTTAGAATGGCCACGAGGAAGAAAATAGTATTTAATATTGTTTCACTTTGTAGTCTCATTCACTTCACTGGCCTCAAGTCAATTCTGAATCATAGAGACCCTCTAGGACAGAGTAGAACTGCCCCTGTGTGTTTTGGAGACTCTAAGCCTTGGCTTTCTCCTAAGGAGTGGCTGGTGGTTCCGAACTGCTGACCTTTCAGTTAATAGTCAAGTAAGTGCGTTAACCACTATGTTGCCAGGCCTCCGATAGTCTCATTAGAGTTTCTTTGGGGGGTGGGGGGGATGCTTTCTGTGCCATGGAAACAATAATTTTGAAGTCAGGACTAATAGCACATTTTTAATAAAAAAAGTGGACATCTTAAATCACTGATGCTTTGTAACAAGTTTGTGGGAGTGCTGCTACACTAAAACAGCAGTTTTAAATGGATCAAGCATTTTATGGAAGGTTAAGAAGACCTCAAAAATGAATTCAAATAGAGAGGTCAGTTCAGAAGGTCATGATGACTGTTCTTTGTGTCTCCAAAGGGGTAATTTGGTAGATTTTTTTTGAAGGATGTGGGCTTATTAAGAAAATGCTTTCAGGCAATGGAAAACTGCATCGGTGAGGGAAAGATCAGCACAGTTGTGTTGAGGAATTTTTTCCCCTATTACAACAATTCCTTGAGATAGCAAGGAGCCTTGATGGCATAATGGTGCATTCATTGAGCACCTATCACTGCAAGGTTAGTGATTTGAGCCCACTAGCCACTCTGTGGGAGAAAGATGATACTGTTTGCTCTTGTAAAGATTTAAAGTTTCAAAAACTCTGCTCTAAATGGTCACTCTGAGTCGGAAGCAACTCTATGGAAATGGGTTTAACAAGGTCTGTTTCATCAGAATTTCACTGGGTGATCTTTTTTTTTTTTTAAATCATTTTATTGAGGGCTCATACAACTCTTACTACAATCCAAACATCCATCTATTGTGTCAAGCACACTTGTGCATTTGTTGCCAACATCATTTTCAAAGCATTTGCTTTCTACTTGAGCCCTTGGTATCAGCTCCTCTTACACCCCCTCCCTCTTTCCCTCCCTCCCTCCTTCCCTCCCTCCCTCCCAAACCCTTGATAATTTATAAATTATTATTTTTTCATGTCTTACACTAACTGATGTCTCCCATCACCCACTTTTCTGTTGTACAACCCCCAAGGAGGGGGCTATATGTAGATCATTGTGATCGGTTCCCCAGTTCTATCCCCACCTTTCCCTTACCCCCTGATATCGCTATTTTCATTATTGGTCCTGCGGGGTTTATCTGTCTTGGATTCCCTGTGTTTTCAGCTCTTATCTGTAACAGTGTACATCCTCTGTTCTAGCCGGATTTGTAAGGTAGAATTGGAATCATGATGGGGGTGGGGGTAGAGGAAAGTTGTATATTTCATCAGTGCTATACTGAACCCTGACTGGTGCATCTCCTCCCCGCGACTCTTCTGTAAGGGGATGTTCAGTTGCCTACAGATGGACTTTGGGTCTCCATTCCGCACTCCCCCTCATTCACAATGATATGATCTTTTTTGTTCATTGATGCATGATACCTGATCCTATTGACACCTCATGTTCACACAGGCTGGTGTGCTTCTTCCATGTGGGCTTTGTTGCTTCTCAGCTAGACGGCTGCTTGTTTATCTTCAAGCCTTTAAGACCCCAGATGCTATATCTTTTGATAGCCAGACACCATCAGTTTTCTTGACCGTATTTGCTTATGCACCCACTTTGTCTTCAGTGATCATGTCGGGAAGGTGAGCATCACGGAATGCCAGGTTAATAGAACAGTGTTCTTGCGTTGATGAAGTACTTGAGTAGAGACCCAATGTCCATCTGCTACTTTAATACTAAACCTATAAATATATGTACTGGGTGATCTTTTTTTAAATTTTTAAAATCATTTTGTTGGGGGCTCATACAACTCTTACTACAATCCAAACATCCATCCATTGTGTCAAGCACGTTTGTACATTTGTTGCCAACATCATTTTCGAAGCATTTGCTTTCTACTTGAGCCCTTGGTATCAGCTCCTCCTACACCTCCCTCCCTCTCCCTCCCTCCATTCTTCCCTCCCTCCCTCCCAAACCCTTGATAATTTATTTCTATTTCCCCATCATCATATATAAGTATATTTACATATGTACATGCCTGTATTTAAACCTCTATCAATGCTTTTTGCCCTATAGTTCTTTATTTTATTTATATATGCCTTTTATTTCCTTTTACTTTACTCTTGTCCCACTATCATGCTCAGCCTTCATTTGGGTTTCAGTAATTCCTCTTGGTTACATTGCCCTTGATCAAGCCTTACCAGGCCTCCTACGGCCCCCTCACCATCACTTTTGGATCACTTGTTGTTCCCTTCTTTCTGGGCTTGTTAACACTCACTTCCTTTTCCCCACCTCCCCCTCTCTCACTGGGAGATTGTACCGCATCCGTCCTATAGCCCTGATTGTGCTCCTGTAGATGACTTCCCATTTTTCAACAGTTTTATTGACACATAATTCACATATTACACAAGTCAGTGTTTTAACTATATTAAAAAGAGCTGTGCCATTATCACCACAATCAATGTTAGAACATTTTCTTCATTTTTGTAGTTGTTATTAGCTCCCTATTTTCCCCCAGCCTTCAATGCCATAACCTTAAGACACTATTATTTTAGTTACTGTCTCTATAAGTTTACCTATCCTGGATTATAAAGGTAGGTTTACCTATCGCGCCCCCAATAATAATAACAAAATAAAACACAGAAAAATCTCAATCCAATAGAAAGCAGAAAATAACTCTTTAAAAATGGGTGAAAAACACAATGGATATATGTAAGGATTGTGATAAGAGCTATATGAGCCCCCAATAAAATGATTTTTAAAAAAAGGGTCAAAAAAGGAAAACAAATGATGTCAAAATTTAATTTAACTATATCTGAATTAATTCACTTTCTGATGCATTCTGAGAGCAAGGCTATTCCCATCCCTAGTCAATGGTCCAAGGAAATTCAGAGAGGCTTAATCCCCATGAGGGCTCTGTAGATGGATTTTGGGGTTTCCTTACTCTGATCTTAGATTTTATTATTTGTAATCATTGGACATACATTGGACATTGGACATAGGTATGCTGCG